GACCGCGGGATGGCGGCATGAGAGGGAACATCATGTGCACGGTGAGCGTGGCATCGAGTGTTGGGGCGGGGCGTTCTTCACGGAGCTGCACCAACAGGGCCTCGCTCTTCCATGGCCGCCCACGCAATCCTCCGCAGCCACAAAGCCACCATCTTCATCCACCAGGCTCCTCCCTGCCTTCTCTCCATCCTATCCCGCATCCTATATATATATATATATGTATGTATATGTATGTACGTATGTATGTATATGTGCATATAAAAAATTACAATAAAAAAAAAAAGGGAAAATAAGAGACATGGTGCACCAGGCACCGAAAGCAAAGAAAAAATATAAAAAAAAAATAATAAAAAAATAAAAAAAAAGGGGAAAAGCAAAGGTGGTGCCGGCACCATGAAAGAAAAAATAATGAAAAGATATAGAATGGTGCAGGCAAAAGAAAGTGGTTGTGGCTAGCACCGAAAGTAAAAAAAAAAAAAAAGGGTCATGATGGTGCGGTGTGTGCATATATATATATAATGTAATATGTATAAAAATTATATATATAATAATTGCATTGAGAGAATTTTTATTTATTTCTCTAGAAAGATTACATAAAATTGCATTCTGCATACAAAAAAAAAAAAAAAAATTTACAAATGTGCAAACAAACGGGAAGGAGTCTTCATTGCTCAGGTGGTGTCTCAGTACTCGGCGGAGCTCTAGGAAAAAGAGACGTCGGAGGTTGACTGTTTGAAGTCACACCACTCGGCGGAACTCCAGGAAGAAGAGGCATCGAAGGTTGATCATTTGAGGCTTCATTACGCGGCACAGCCCCAGAAGACGAAGGCAAATGCTGCTGGAACAAACCCACAAAGCTCTGATGATCAAGTAAAATCTGACCATCAGATTCCTGCATCTGGTCAATCTTCCTCTTCATGTTTGTCACATAGCTATGGGCGAGCTTATGCAACTGTTTATTCTCCTGCTTGAGCCCTCTAATCTCCTGTTTGAGACTCATCACTTCAGCCGCCAACGATTCAACTTGACGGGTTCGAGCAAATAGGCGTTGGGCCATGTTGGACACAGAACCCGCACACTGCACACTAAGGGCCAGAGATTCCTTGACAGCCAGTTCATCAGACCGCTTGGAAAGTAGTCTGTTATCTCTGGGAGTGACAAGGTTCCGGGCCACCACCGCAGCGGTCATATCATTCTTCACCACTGAATCCCCAACGGTAAGAGGACCCGTGGGGGATATGAAGGATGGGCGCCATATGTTGTCTGGAGAAGAAGGGACTGCCTCTTCACCAAGATTCAAGTCAAAACGACGGTCGGAGGGTCCAGACATTTTCAAAGTACTGAAGGAAGAAGAGATCGGACAAATCGAGATCTTAGAAGTGCAAGAAGGTACAAGCAAAAATTCAAGTGTGCTTTGAAATGAACTGCTTGCCTCTATAAAAAAATCAGCACTCGACGGGATTTCAGAGATCGAAGAGGCGAGCTCAGAATTCGAAGAGGCCATTCAAAAATCGAAGAGGCAAGCTCAGAAATCGGAGAAGCATCTTGCTTTTCCAGACGTGTCGGCACCCGTCACACGTAAACTCAGCTTTACGGAAATCACGGGTAATTTGTCGAAGCGCTGATCCCAGATATCGAAGTGGCGCCAGTCTTTTTCAGCCGCGTCATCACCTGTCATATGCACACTCAACTTTGCGCAAATCACGGGCAATTTGTCGAAGATTTTCGGTGAAGGAGAAAGCACGTGAAGTTTACTGTTCAATCACGCATTAGTTGCCGACACGAGTGAAAGAATAGTACCTCTACAGGTATTAAGGGATCTCCTATAACTGTCCACCTTCACCTTCCATAGCAAGGCAGACATACAGAGCCTTTCTTCATCTCCAAAAATGCTTTCCCAACGAAACCTCTCGAGTCATTCAGTGTTCCTTATTCCTTGGGGTACCTCTGTAAGCCAATAACTTCAAAGCAAAAGTATCTCATATCACCAGGGTAGAAAGCAAGAGTATCTCATATCATGCGTTCTCCCTGTCGTTTCCTTTGTCCTTGCTCCTACCTACAAAGACAAGGATAAAGAAAACAATATGCCGGAACTTCCACTCAAACTCGGGTAAGGAACCGACTGCTTGGAACCCTTCCCTGATTGCCTGCCTAGCACTGCTCTCGAGTACTCGTCTCCCACTGCTGCTGTACTTCCATAGAAGCTGTCACATCTGTCTGGAGAACAGATAAGGCAAGTGAAAAATGATACCTTGCAGCATGTGGAGACAACGTGCTGAAGAAACAAGCAGAGAAGAATGCGGCCTGCACAGTCAACTCAGCAGAAGGAGTCCGAACTGAGGAACTCGAGAAGCTGCCACATCTGCCTAAAGAAACAAGCAGAGAAGAATGCAGCATGCACAGTCAACTCAGCAGAAAGAGTCTGAGATGAAGAACTCGAGAAGATGCTGCATCTGCCTGAGGACGGTGAACTTGTTTTGACCCTCAAATTCTTGGGTCGGCTTACTAGGCGTTATGAGCTACACATGCCGATTCACCACCCTTAAATCGAATCCTTAAAGATCAAGTCACCAACTGGAAGAAGAGTTCATCAATCTTGAAGATCATACCGTTGACCAAACTGCTCAGGTGTGAATTAGAAAGATTGAACAAAGAAACAGGTTGTCACATTTACCTCGTGCCTGCTTGCCATGTGTTCGAGTCAACCTTCAAGAATCAAGCCTCAACGGCCCTTGAAGAAGTTTCCAGCCAACTTCAAGATCAAGCCTCGACGGCCCTTGAGGAAATCACAAGTCCGATTCAAGATCAAGTGTCCACCACTCTTGAATCAAAAACCTAGTTCAAGAATAAGCTGTGGAAAATCAACAATTGGAGGAATCCAGAAAATCCTTCAACCCAGTTCAAGATCAAAGCTGTGGAAAGTCAACAAGCGCAACAAAACACGTGCCGATTCACCCACTACCAAAGCCAAAGATCATCTACCACATGAAGCTCCTTGTGGTCCAATTTCAACCTTCAAGATCAAGCCTTGACGGCACTTGAAGAAATTTCAAATAAAAGTTCAAGAACAAGCCTCGACGGCCCTTGAAGAAATCTCCAGCCGAATTCAAGATCAAGCCTCGACGGCCCTTGGATCGACATCTACAGTAAGGGACTTCAAAACGCATCTCCTACACGTGACAAGCACATGTATACGACGTGCCTTGAAGTGGGGGCATTTGTAGACATCGAAATTTCGGTAAATAAATGTTGACCGATAAATTAAAGTGTCAACGCTCATGTATTACATAAATTTTACACGTAGCGTGCGACTCAACGAAAATTGAAATAAGTTGGAAAAGTCATTAAATAGGACACGTGTCAACACCTGGCAGAAACAACTTATTTTATCTGGAATATTATATTCAAAATTAGGCCTTGGAAATCTCTATAAATACAAGCCTATTTCATTCATTCAAGGGAAACCAAAAATCATTAGGCAAAACTCTTGAAGCTCTGAAGCTCTGAAACTCCGAAGCTCTCAAGCATCCAGGTTCCCGAAGAATCAAGAAAGCATTCTTCGTTCATCGTTCTTCCAAGATCAAGCCCGACGGCTCTTGGATCAACAATCATCCACCTTCAAGCCCAAGCCTCAACGGCCCCTTGAAGAAAGCGTTCATCGTTCATCATCCGTTCATCCAAGATCAAGCCCCGACGGCCCTTGGATCAACAAACATCAACAAATCCACACATCCAACCGTTCTTCAAGATCAAGCCCAAAAGCCCTTGGAGATCCGTTCATCACTGTTCTTCAAAGATCAAGCCCAAAAGCCCCTTTGAAGATCCGTTCAAATCCACCTTCAAGATCAAGTCTACGGCCCTTGAAGAACGTTCATCCTTAGATCAAGCCCAACGGCCCTTTGGATCAATCGCACATCCACAAATACACACCTTACGGAGATCGAATCAGAGGATCAAAATAGAGAGAGATTGTAACCCAAAATCAAAAAAATACAAATATTTGTTTGTGCACGTTTGTTCTTGTCTCTTTCGTTTCAGGAATTTTCCGTGTTCACACACATGATCACACACATCTCTGTTTCAGGCCCAGAGTCTTTGAAGGGACAAAAGTTCAAATAATAATAATTACAAAAACAAGAGAGAGCTGCTAAGCCTATTTCGTTGTCTTATTTCCCCACCTACGTTATATCTACACCTACTATAAAAAGTTAAAAAATTAAAATGTTATTTTTCCACTCACTATTATTCATATAATAACCATATATATAATTAGAGATAAATTTCTCTTAAAAAAAGAATATAACCAAACCTTCTAAAAACCGAAAAAAAAAGAATATAACCAAACCTTCTAAAAACCGGAAAAAAGAAAAGAAAAAAAAACCATGTTTCCTTTCCAAATTCCAATTTGAGCGTCCTTTTTGAGATGCATAGCAATTCGCATTGTCATTGACGTATAATATTGTTTAGCTACTCAGCATCAATTAATTTATCTGTCCGCTATTTTCAACTTTAATCATGTGGATGTTGTATGCTTCTAATAGATGTGGGCATGGATGCTGTCAATGAAAGAATAGCTGCATTGAAGCCTGCTAACCTACGTGCCGCCACTCGGATACAGCAGCAGCAGAACCACCCCGCCGAGAAATGGTGAGCTGTCAGCAAAAAAGAATAGCAGCAGCGAGAGACGAATCGCGATCGTCGCTGCAATGCAGCAGCGCTAGCAAGATTGTGACGTCGTTGGTGGAATGATGAGTTAGGGTTTAAGGGAGATAAATTTTCTAAACATAGTGTGATAGTTATCACTCCTAAACTATTTTTTTCTTTTTTATAAAAAAAAAGAAGAAGAAAGTAATACAAAAGGGGGTAACTAAGTCATTTTACAAATGGATAAATTTGTAATTAAAAAATTCATAAAAAGATGGGTGGGAAGATAAGATATTGGAGTGAGAATAACACTTCTCAAACAAGATATCCCCTCTCTTTTAATCTTTATATAGTGCCCCCACTCCGGCCAACATTTCAGCCCAGCTGACCTCCATTCACTCTTCCTTTCCTTCCTTCTCTCTGGGCTCTTTGCTCTCTCCTCCCACTCAACCCATGATTTCCCTACCATGGAAAACCATTGTACTCACTCTAATTCTCTTCCACGTAACTTCTTCCTCCATTGAAGCAGAAGCTTCTCCTTCTCTGCTCGACAGAATTACCGGGTTGCCGGGTCAGCCCCCGGTCGGGTTCCAGCATTATTCTGGCTATGTGACCGTTGATGCGAAAACAGAGAGCTCTGTTTTACTATTTTGCTGAAGCAGAAATAGATCCAGCTTCCAAGCCTCTTGTCCTCTGGCTCAATGGAGGTCCCCATTTCTTACCCACCATTAAATTTTCCATCTTTTTATTTTTTACCACCTGGGTTTTAAAAAAAAAAGAGGTTTTACTTCTTGGTTTTTGATGGGTTGTGATTTTTCCAGGTCCTGGTTGTTCATCTCTTGGAGTCGGAGCATTTTCTGAGAACGGACCGTTTAGGCCTAAAGGAGAAGTCTTGGTTCGAAATGAGCATAGCTGGAATAGAGGTGAGATCTTTTTTGATCAATGCGGTTTTGCGAAACAATCCAACGGTGCAGATTGCTGACATGCTCACTCATTTGCAGAAGCAAACATGCTGTACTTGGAGACACCAATTGGAGTGGGGTTCTCTTACTCAACGGATACTTCTTCCTATGAGGCTGTAACCGATCACATCACAGGCATGACTCACCATCACCAATTTCACATTTGATTTTCTATTTTTCGGTCAAATAATAAAAACTAAAATCGAAATGGTTATAAGACGGATCCTAAATCTTTATCTACCTTCCGTCCTCCAAATTTCTTCCAAATTTTCTCAGCAAGCAGAAAATATTGCTAAGCAAAAAACAAAAAATAAAATAAAATCGTCTGCACCCAACATTCAAGTCAACTTGTCTTCCTATCATCTTCCTTTGTTCATTTCCCAAAGACGAACAAAGTATTCTTTTTATTTCTTCAAAAGTTCCACATGAAATCTTTTAATTTCCTTTGATCACCAAATATTCAAAAGAATATTTCATGACAGGGTTTGCACTAATTTCATTTTTTGTTTAATTTCGAAAAATTCACTTTACAGATATGCCTTGTGTGATGGTGTTTTGTAACTATCCTTGTGGTTGACAAAAAGTTCACCTTTACTCCTTACAGGCTATGTGTGAATTCTGAATTTTGTCCTTGTTATCTACAGCCAGGGACAATCTTCTGTTCTTGCAAAAGTGGTTTGAAAAATTCCCACAATACAGAAATAGAAGCTTGTATATTACTGGAGAAAGCTATGCTGGTATATCATCATGTCACTTTTGATTATTTCTCGATGTTGATTGACTCGATCCTAATGTTGAAAATATTTTCGACTTCAAACGAAATACCCCAATAAGAAATGGAGGTACTGATTTTATCTATTTATTTGTAGGTCACTATGTTCCTCAGCTAGCAGAACTCATGCTCCAGTTCAAGGAACATCACTTCAATTTGAAAGGAATTGCTGTGAGTTATAAAATCTCAAATTACCAGCTTTTCGTCGTCTAGATTGTGGTCTAAATTTTTCGTTTTCATTGCAGTTGGGTAATCCAGTCCTGGAATATGCAACTGACTTCAATTCAAGAGCTGAGTTCTTCTGGTCTCATGGATTGATATCGGATTCAACTTACAAAATGTTCAGTTCCGTTTGCAACTACTCGCGGTTTGTGAGTGAATATTACAGAGGCTCAGTTTCGCCTATTTGTTCGAGGGTGATGAGCCAAGTGAGCAGAGAAACCAGTAAATTTGTTGACAAGTATGATGTCACCCTTGATGTTTGTATATCATCTGTGTTTTCCCAATCCAAAGCCCTCCTTCCTCAGGTGAATACCCTCTATTGCTCCATTGCAGCATGAAATTTTGGTTTGGTTTCACAAAGTTCGTGTCCATCTTCTAATTGATTGAACTTCGTTTTTGCAGCAAGTTGCTGATTCAATAGATGTATGTGTTGAGGATGAAGTAGTTAATTATCTGAACAGGCCAGACGTGCAGAAGGCGCTTCATGCTCGTCTTGTTGGAGTTCGGCATTGGGCAGTTTGCAGCAAGTAATTCTCTTCTGAAGATGTACATTTAAAAAAATTCGAATGCGCCTCAAAGTAGTATTCATGTCAACAGTTTTGCTTATGAAAATATCTTCTGTGTTATGGCAGCATACTGGGTTATCAGGTGCTGGATGTGGAGATACCAACGATCACAATCGTAGGCAAACTTATCAAAGCAGGAATACCGGTCTTAGTTTACAGGTAGAAGAATTTTAGACAGCATCAAAACATCGTGTTTCATCTTAAATGTTATTGCAGTGGACTAAACTTTCAAGTTTTAAACTCAGTGGCGACCAAGATTCTGTTATCCCGTTGACTGGAAGTCGAACATTAATTCATGGACTTGCAGAGCAGTTAAGACTAAACACCACTGTGCCTTATAGAGTCTGGTTTGAAGGACAACAGGTGAATTAACTACAAGATTACTAAAATCTAAGAATTTTTGGTTGCTTCTGTTATAAATTGTAACGCGATGAATGCATGTTTCATGTTTTTATCACCTGCAGGTTGGTGGATGGACTCAAGTTTACGGTAATATGCTTTCTTTTGCCACCATTAGAGGAGCATCACACGAAGCGCCGTTCTCGCAGCCTGAGAGATCACTCGTGCTATTCAAGTCGTTTTTGGAGGGCCGGCCTCTGCCAGAAGTGTTCTGATCTACTGATCAGTTAGATAGCGACCAGATTGAGATTGTAAGAAGTTTGGTTGCAAAGGTTTAATCATCTGAGCATGAAAAAAATTGCATTTGTTTGTTATTTGTAACAGGTTACATGGGTTTGTCCATGCTGTGGAAAGTAGAAGAATTTTGTAAACATCTCAAGAAAAAAATGAAAGAAAGAAAGTGCTTTTGTAAAATCCCAAGTTTCCATTTTATTTAATTCATTTTTTTATAATAGTTTCAAATAATTGATCTGTTTGATATTAAAAAAAAAAAATTACAGCACTCCAAAAGATAAAAGTTGGAATATTATATAACTCAACACAAGAACACAAGATCAAGAGGTTGCTAAAGAGTTCCTGCAGTTGGAAACTACAACTGGAGCTTCAACCTGCATTTTCATACAACTGAACTCCAATGCCAATACAGGCTTTGATAACATCACAGCTTCACAGAGGTTCTTGCCATTATCCCCGAGTTCTTCAGTTGCGTGGTTCTTTGTACTGCTAGTATGGATTTCTGATGATTGTCTTGTCTCGGTCTTTGGCATCGGAGATGGTCCTGATACTTTTGCTGGATGCACTGCTCGTACCCTATCAGAAATCGATCAGGTAGCACACTAACAATTAACACTTGAGTTAGGTGGAGAACGATGGAAGCATGCGAGTTTAACATTTATGAAGCTTGATGAACATAAAAAGCAACTGAAACAAAGAAAACCTGCACTCAATCCGGCAAGAGTACTTGAGAAGGTTGGGATAATATTCTGTGCCACCGCTACAATTTCACAACAGAAGGAAGTAAATAAGGGAAAAAGATACACTAATAGCATAGATAATTATGTGCACAAAACACAAACGGAGAAACCTTACCTAAAACTTGGAAGTGACAATTTGATCGCCGGCCCCCTCCACCCACCATTCGATTCAGGCACTGCCATCGTCAAACTCGTAATTAGGAATATCGATGGTTGAATCACGCCAAAGGATGAAATCAGGAGAAAAACATCCAACGTATACTAGTGACAGGAGATATTTGGATTAACCAACTTACCGAAAGTAGTAAGGTTGAAATTAAAGGAATCTTTAACCGATGAAGCCTTGATTTCGGTCACTTGAACTTCCATACAATCTTTTGGATCACAGAAAGCAGCACTGCTACCAATTACACTAAGAAATCCAATGTTTTTGCTCTTTGGTTGCCTTGAAACTGCTGTAATCCTCTGTTTTGTAGAGAAAAATGAATTTCGTAAGCTGTAGCCCACCTTAGGATGAATAGTTCACCATATGCAAGCTGCAAAAAAATGTCTATAATTCAAATGCAAATCATACCTTCGAAAACCTCGCAACTTGACTTGGAAGGCCTACTTCCTGCAAGAGGGGACTGCAACCAGCATGAGAATTACATACGAAAAATAAGAAACTGTGACAAGCTCTGCGGCAGAGTGCCTTATGCAGCCTCACACCTTTCGTCCATGGTCACAAGCTTCATCACTATTCACAAGCACCTTAGCTGCCCAGCTGTTTGACAAAAAAAGAAGTAAAAATGCTTATGATTTAGGGTTTAGGGTCTAGAACAAGTCTCTCTCCCAAAGATTACATGCTCTTCGGCTTATTACGAACAAAGAAAGGATTGAGGAAACATACGCGCAAGATGTTGGTGGGCTCCAAACAAGTCCAGCGATCACAACGAGCTGAGAGGGAGAACATAAAGAGTCTTGTTAGTGAGTGGTTGAAGAAACTTCAGAAGAATTCCTATCTATATTTTGCTAAAGCAAACATGGATTACTCCTGCGATAAACAAAAGTAGTGAACAAAAACTTGTTCATTAGCTTTCTGGATCGAGGCCCGAAAAAGTATGACTTTGTAAAGTGATGATTATGCAGAAGATATGAACCTCATCAAAGATTCCAACTGGACTGTCATCATACTTGGCAAGAAAGAAGCCACCAAGAGTGTACCTGTAAAGTGTAATCCAACACATATTTGGTGATCGGATTCTTTGACCATCCCGAATCCTATCAACCTTATTCTCCTTTGTCGCTCAATCATTTAAGGCTTTTTATCAAAGGTGGTCTCCAAGATTCGTATAACTCCTCACTTTGGTCCCGACAATAAAAATCGATAAAAGTGATCTCTGAGTTTGTCTACTGTAATCACAAAAAATTTGTCAATATCCTTGTTAAATTGTCACACGAAACCAACCCAACCACTTAACAATGATATTGACAGTTTTTTCACGGAATGACCAAAATGACTTAGGGTCAACAAACGCGGGACAACTTCCATCGATTTTCATTTGCAGGGACCAAAGAGAGGAGATGTATTCATTTGAGGACCATTTTGCCGAAAAAGCCATCCTTTAAACAACAATTAATAGTACATTTACCCAAATGCTTCAACTAGTCTGAACTCTTTCGGGATGCATGCTCGAACAGTTGCTGCTTTGACAAGATGGAGCTGATACAACGCGCTGATCAGAAAAACCGGGCAATCAGCAGAGTCATTTGTCATGATTGAGAACAGAGAGCAAAAAAAAAAAAAAAACTAGAGTTGTTGGACACTAACCTGCCTCTGAATATCCATGGAGGCTTTCCATAGGAACATTTTGTTTCTCCAACATCCATGAACTTGAATGACTTCAAGAAAGTGCTTTTACCAGAATCAAATTTGAAGATGCCAAAATCAAGTAATTCAAGCTGTGTCCAGGAAGTCCCTAAACAAAAAGTGCATCATTTATCAGAAGCAAAGTCCCTAATCAACTCATGGTGGTGGTGCCACCCCATGCAATCACAAATTACAATGATCTCTTGCCCTGTTTTGTTAAATACTAGCAAACACAATCTTGAATTGTAGAAAGAAGAACTTCCATGCACCTGGGATGCCAACGTATTCTGAGTCAATCACATGAAGCGAGAAAAAGTCACGGCAATACATGATTGGCCGCCACCATGACATCTCAGGTGTCGGTAAGTTTCTCTCGAACTGTAAGGGTGGCGGACATTAAATAATTACTTGATGTTTTATACTTACTAGGAACAATTGTGAGATTGGATATCAGGCATCGTCAAAAGAGAAATGATTTCCACACGCCGGGTCTCTCCTTGTGCACAATATTCAATACATTAATACATGCATTGTGAAGATCAAGAGCACAGCTAAGTTGGAAAAAAAAGGAACGCAACAAGCAAAGCTCACCTGAAAGAAACGAAACCAATCAAGGAAAGCTGCACACAACAAAACTCAGCTCCTAAAGTTCACTGCCCGAGAAAAAAAAAGAGAGGTAGAAACCCAGAAGAAAAAAATGATGAGAGAGAGAGAGAGAGAGAGGAGGAAGAATTCAAGGAGGTGAGAGAAACAAACCAAAACGGATAGAAAGACAGGGATTGGCTGGCTGTGCTGAGACATAAATAGCCGTAGTAGGACTCTAGGAATGGGAGAGGAGTGGATGTGGATAGGACTAGGAGTACTTTATCCAAACCCACCACAGGTTTTATTTGGCGCCAACTGAAAATAAATAACTACGACCCTCCCTTTTACCAATACCAATAACATGGCCAATACCAGTACCAATACCATCAACATTCAGCGACATGGAACCTGCAACTTGCCAATACCAAAACTGATGAGATGAGTTTTGTTTTTTCTACTAATTAATTCTTTAGGTTGGTCTCTAAGCAGATATCCTGGATCCCAACATCACTATATATTTATTCTTAGTCTCAAAGTATCATTTTTAATTTCTTTTATATATTAAGCTAGATCGTATCCAACAAACTTTATCTCGTACTCTAAAGCATCTCCGAGAGAGATGATGTAAAACAACCAAAACTATAGTCTTTTTAAATTTGCAGAGTCATTGTCATCCGTTAAATAATTAAAAATAATAATAAAATTCAAGGATGGACTAATGAGCAAGGAGAAAAGGGATAGAGGAGGTTAGAGGATCTTTTTCCTAGGGATCCCATGATCTCATCCGTTCATTGTATATCGTGTAGTCAGTTTTCGTTATGTACTATTTATATTTAATTTTAAATATTGAAATAATTTCTGACCGCACGATATACAATGAACGACTGAGATCACAGGATCCCTAGGAAAAGATCCAACAAGGATCCTTTCCCTTGAAAATGAGCATGTTGAGTTTAAATTGTTAATAATAAAATATTCAAGTTTGTTAAAATAGAGTGTGTTGGTGGGGATTTTAAACTGAATAGCTAAAATAGGTTTTTGATACTGTTTACTTTGTAGTTTACCAAAAATTTAAAAATTTCTCTTGAAAATGTTTTAATACTTTGGCAGGTTAAACTCCTCTAAACATGAAAGAACAAACAGTTTTCTATAATCTTGATAAGAGTAGCCAATAACATGTCAATAGTAAAATGCTTAGACATTTTAACAATTTTAACATAGGATAATATTGAAGAAACAAAATTTATAAACTAAATGATGTATCACCAATATAAATGAACACATTTATCAATCTTTATCAACTATCCTTTACTTTGACGGTTAAAAAAAGTCAAAAATGACTTTCCGTCAAGAAATGGCTTTCTAGACGGCTTTTACCGTCAAGTAAAGGCTTTTATTCTTATATTATTTCAACAAATAATGGATATCATGCAAACAAAAACTTCTGTTGAATTGTTACAGAAATTTTAAACTTGCAAAAATAGGAGAATAAAGAGAAAAGAATAGCTTTTACGCTTTATTTTTGTGTTTTAATTTTCTTTAATTCATTCAATTCAACAATAAAAAAATTTAAAAAATGTGTAAAAAATAAAAAAAGGTATGTGAATAATATTAATAATGACGATGATTTTGAACCACTAAAAAGCCAGAAAAATGTTGAGATTCTCATTCAAAGACGTGTCAACTAACTGAACACACACAAAGGAAAGACAAGAAGGTGAGTTCTGAGTCGCACTTACTACCGATATCAGTGATCCTCCGTACTATTCAATTGACAAGGTGACTAGTGCTTCCGTCTTGATGCAGCAATCTTCAAGAGACACGTAATCCATCCTTCATGTGTGCACTAACATGCAAATCACACACTACGGCTGCATTTTTTTTTGGGAACTTTAACGAAAGCATTCACTTTAACGAAAAACCATATTTTTACACTAAAAAGTCAATTATGGTACTATTCACTTTACCCTTTATTTTGTCATTATCATTAAAACTCAAAGTTTTCAAGCCCCTTTCATTAGTTTTTTTTTTTAAATTGCATTCGTTCATTTCACATTGCATGATATGTGCACTAACTTGCAAGGGTATCACATACTAAAGTTGCATCTGTTTTTTTAAAAGGAAAACTAATGAAAATAATTTGAAAGCTTTGAGTTTTAATGATAAAGATAAAATAAAGTGTAAAGTAAATAGTACCAGAATTAACTTTTTAGTGTAAAAATATGATTTTTCGTTAAAGTGAACAATACCGGATGCTTTTTGTTAAAGTTCCTTTTTAAAATTGCAATCGTTTATTTCACATATTGAATTCAACATGTACTATCAACATAATATTGTAGATCAAATCGTGAACATAAAGATGTTTATTAAAATTTCTATCATACATCAATGGCGTGTTCAACATGAATTTCAATAGAAGTACAAAAGTATCAATTTGATAGGGCAAAACTAAAGTGGGAACAACCCACAAAAACAACTTAAAAACTTGCATCACCAACCCGTTTCTAAGTCTATACATCCAAAAGTTTAAATTAAAATATAAGATCAAAACTAAACTACCATCAGAAATCACATCATGAATCATATTGCTTTTGTATCAAATTTTAAATGAATGCACCCCATTAGACACACGAATGTATGACAAGATATGTGGCCTGCCCGAAACCCTGGGAATGACTTACCTATGTGATGATGCTGCTGTTTAACTTTCTCACTTGATCATGTTGTTTAACTTGATATGTCGTTACAGTGACATTCCGGGCGTAGTTATGTTTCTCTCGGATATCAACTAGTAACCATGAGGTTGCTCTTTCAAACCATCCATCCAAAATGTGTCATGCCCAAATCTACATTTGAAATTTGCTTAGGTTACCAATAATCTCTGCAAGAACACTCCCCAAACTCGAAGTGATGGAATCTGTTGGAATCTCTCACAACAATTGCACGCCCCGTTACCACAGAAACATGTTTTGCAAACTCATGGCAATCTTTGCACGCCCTGATGTTCTTAAAAACCACAATAGGAGCATCACCTGGTATGGAAATAACCCCAAATGCTATAGCAAGTCTCTCACTGTGGTCAAGAAGCTGTTCTTTCCTTTCGGGAAAACCGCTCAATACGTCCTCCTCGGTAAGAAGCGAATCTTCAGCATCCCTGAAAGAAATGCTCAGCTCCTTCAGTTTCGTGTATATCTGTTCTATCTGAGAATGGTGTTGATCACCCACTACAAACCGATGCTTTTCACCCTTGACGGTTATCCAGCTGCATCCGATTTCTTTCCTCAAGTTCCTTTCAGCCATCATTCTTCTATAAACTGCAGCTTCTTCCCACTTCCCGGATGATGCATACAAATTAAACATGATAATGTAACTAGCAGTGTCCTCTGGGTCCAATTGGAGGAGGTTCTCAGCTGCTAACTTTCCGAGCTCAAGATTTCGATGTATCCAGCATCCACCCAATAAACTTTTCCAGCTCATTGCATCGGGTTCAAACGGCATGCTCTTTATCAGATCAAGTGCCTCTTGTAGTTGCCCAGCACGGGAGTATATGTCAATCATACAATCGTAATGATCAATGGTTGGTTCTACATGATATACACTACTCATTGATTCCAAAAACTGCTTTCCGTCAGTCACCAAACCTGAATGGCTGCAGGCAGTTAAAACTGCTATAAATGTAACTGAGTTTGGCTTTACGCCGGAATCCTGCATTCTATTGAAAAGTGTAAGAGCTTCGGAGGCATTGCCGTGATAAGCATAACCACATATTATTGCAGTCCAGGCCACAGCATCAGGTTTATCTATTGATTCAAATGCTCGATAGGCACAATCCAATCTGCCACATTTTGAGTACATCGTAATCAATGCACTTGTTCCATGCAAGAATGCAATGAGCCCTCTTTTTATTGCATCAGCATGAACTTGAGTCCCCAAATTTATATCCACGATTGCAGAACAGGCTTGAAAAATGCTTGTATATACAAACGAATTTAAGGTAACATCTTTAGTAATTAAAGATTGAAAAATCTTGACACACTCCTCAAATTTCCCACATTGGCAATAGCCAGAGATTATAGCACTCCATGAAACATCATTTGGTTCATGTATCCTTTCGAATGCTCTGCAAGCAGACTCAAATTTTGCACATTTGGCATAGAAGTCCACTAGAGGAGTTCCTACAGAAACATCAGAATCCAACCCAAGTTTAACACTGTAGCCATGAATTTGCCTTCCCATATTCAAGTCCTGCAAACCAGCACATGCCTTGAGAACTATCGAAAATACAAAATCATCCACCTCTACACTTTTCCTAACCATCTCAGCAAACAATTCCAAAATCTCCTCCGGTTTCTCATCTTCAGTATAGCCTACCATCAACCCAGTCCAAACCACAGCATTCCTTTCTTCCATCCTATCGAAAACAAGCCTAGCACCCTCTAACCACCCACACTTCACATACATGTTTGCAATCCCGGTTTCAACCGAAACATTACTACTCATTTCACTTCTTATCACATAAGAATGTATCTGTTTCCCAAGCTCCAAAAGCGAATCCTCAGTCAAGGAACTTAAAACGCTTGTAAAAATCGATGCATTCGGTCTAATCCCAGACTCCAGCATTTTTGAAAACATCGAAATAGCTCTTTTCAGAATACCCTTCTGCGCATATGCCGATATAATTATAACCCAAGAAACCAAATTCCTCTCAGGCATCTCATCAAACACCTTCTGTGCATCCGATAAACTTCCGCATTCGCAATACATCTGCAGAGCGTCGTTCTCAAGAAACTCAGGTGGGTTCTTCACTGTCCTTCTTAACCATCTGTGCACAGATTTTCCATCTAACAACGAACCCTTTAATCCACACATTTCAAATAAACATTTATACGATTGAGGACTCACGGATACACCGGCTTCGTTCATCTGCTCGAGAAATTGGCGCGCTTCTCTGAGCTTCCCTTGCTTGGAGAGAGAAACCAAGTGCACATTTTCGACCTGGCCCAGTTCTGTTTGGCGGGTTTCGATCGACGGACCGGTGGATTTAAGAGAGACCCACGATGGAATTTGAGCAAAGTTGGAAGCTTTTGCGAACGGAGTCTGATCGGGATGGTGTAAAGCACGGGAAGGTAGCAGAGAACATTGGACTGCGAAGGAAGACGACATTCGAATTTAAGCTTTTGATTCCCAAAAATCTTTACA